GGTTAGCGATTCGAAAAATCCTTTTACAAATTTTCTGTAATATCCTGCTAATCCCAAAAAGCTTCGAACTTCAGTCACATTACTTGGTTGTTTCCAATTCACAACGGCTTCAACCTTTAAAGGATCAACTGATAGACCTTCCTTTGATATGACATGTCCTAAAAATGTCACTTGTTCAAGCCAAAATTCACATTTACTAAGTTTGGCGTACAATTTCTTTTCTCTTAATATTTGCAATACCATTCTTACATGTTGCTCATGTTCCTTCTGATTCTTGGAATAAATTAAAATATCATCGATGAATACCACAATAAATTTATCCAAAAAGGGCTTAAAGATCCAATTCATCAAATCTATAAATGTAGTCGGTGCATTGGTTAATCCAAAAGGCATGACTAAAAATTTATAATGGTCATACCTTGTTCTAAAAGCTATCTTGGGAACATCTTCACTTTTAATCTTAAGCTGATGGTATTCAGATGTAAGATCAATTTTTTAAAATACTTGTGATCCTTGTAATTGGTCAAATAAATCATCAATTCTAGGTAATGGATACTTATTTTTCATTGTCACTTGGTTCAACTGTCTATAATCGATACACAATCTCATGATCCCGTCTTTCTTTTTATCAAACAATACCGGAGCACCCCAAGGTGACACATTGGGCCCGATAAAACCTTTATCTAATAATTCTTCTAATTGTTGTTTAAGTTCCTTAAGTTCTGCAGGAGCCATTCTGTAAGGTGCCTTAAAAATTGGGGCCACCCCTGACAATAATTCAATTTCCCTTTCAGGCGGTAATCCTGGCAATTCTTCAAGAAAAACGTCGAGAAATTTTCGGACAACCGGAGTGGTATCCAAATTTATCTCTTCCTTCCTATCTTCTTTGTTATAGGCAAGAAAACCTTGACACCCTTTTCGAAGAAGACGATTAGCTCGAATACAGGAGATTAAATATGATGGGGAGTCTTCTTTGATACCATTAAAGTAAAATACTGGTTGATTCGGAATACTAAAGGTAACCATTTTCTTATAACAATCAATACTTGCATGGTATGCAGAAAGCCAATCTATGCCTAAGATTACATCAAAATCTTGAATTTTCAGTTAAATAAACCAACAGTTCCTTTTCTTCTATCTTTATTACACATGATTTGTACACTATATTGGTGTTAATTGAATTTTCCATCGGTGTGGCTACCTCTAAAATGTATTCTAATTGTTCTGGTTCTACCTTTAAGTGGCATGCAAAGTGTGATGACAAAAATGAATGAGTAGATCTAAGATCAATCAAAACATGAGCTACTTTTTGGAAAATAATAAGAGTACGTTGGATCACTGATTTTGAGGCTTGAGCATCTTGCTCGGTGATCGCAAATACTCTTCCCTTTATCTGAGGCTTTTGAGCTATCTCTTCTTGCTTTGGAAGCTGTTGCATCTGTAAGTTAGGACATTGTCTAATATGATGCCCCAATTTTCCACATTTAAAATAGGCTCCGGTATTCCAATAACAAGGGCTGGATTCATGGTTTTTCCCACATTTCTTATATGGTTCTATTGGGCTTTGAAGTGGCAAGGGCCTTGGCTTCTTGTTTGTCATTTCAAATTGTTGTCGATTAGATGGTGTGGGTCTAACATGGATTTTCTGATTTTTCGTCTTTTGGTAATCTTCGAAATCTTTTTCAACAATTTGGGCTCGATCCACTATTTCAGCATAAGTTCTCAATTTTAAGATTGATATTCTGCTTTTAATAGCTGGCCTGAGACCCCTTTCAAATTTCTTCACCTTTCTTATCAAATTGTTAATCATATGTGGTGCAAACCTGGACAATTCAGTAAACTTAGCCTCGTACTGTGCTACTGTCCCGTTTCCTTGGATTAATTCCAGAAATTTTATTTCTTTTTTGTCTCGAATAAAATCTGGGAAATACTTTTCATTAAATGTCTCTAGAAATACTTCCCAAGTTAAGGGTTTATTTTCTTTAACCAATACTCATTTTGCCATTCGCCACCAATGTTGTGCTTCTTCTTCTAACATAAAAATTGCCAAGGCCACCTTCTTATCATCAAGACATTCCATTACCTTGAATATTTTCTCCATATGCATAATTCATCCCTCGGCTTCCAGTGGGTTTACAACACCCTTAAAAGAAGGTGGGTTCAATTTCTTAAATTGTTCGATATCACTCCCACCATTTCCCGTGACTGACTGCTTAGGTGAATTGTTGTTTTCCATCTGATGTTGCATTAGAGTAACCATACTTTCCAAAGCTTTGTGAATTCCTTCCATAATAGCTTTAGCTATTCTGGATCATGACTTCGTCCCAGTCTGTACACGTAATAAATGTGATTTTAAGTATATTTTTTAAAAAATTTCCTAAGAATCTTTAACCTATTGCTCTGATACCATAATTGTCATACCCCAAGAATTTACAATACTGTTATTCCTGAGATGTGACAGTCAAAACATATATACATCTCTTGATAAGACAAATTTACAGTGGCGAATTCTTACAAAGTAACAAAAGAAAGCTTAGGCACAACTACAATATCTTCCAAAGTTGCACTTGACGAGTACTCAAAATAAAACCGCAGTTAGCCTAAAAAAATGTTTACCATAGTTTGATGAGTTTGGCTACTCAGTAAGTGATCATCATAATCCTAACAAAATAATCATGATTAGAAGATATAAACGAACTTTCAAAATGGAGGTCAATTAAAAACAATGCGAGCACTAGCATTTATAGATAACAATTTCACTTTCAGAAATTCACAATTAAACATAATCCAAATGATTGAAATGCATATAACATTTTATCGGCAGTGCATAATTCAAAAGATTTAACAAAATTACCCTACTGGCGTCCCAAGTAGGTCACCTATATACCCCATCAGCGTCCTGATGGGTCCACTTAATCCCTATCGGCATCCCAGATAAGTCCACTTAATCCCTGCAGGTCCACTTATACCTCACCGGTGTACCGGATGAGTCCACTTAATCCATACCGGCGTCCCGGATAGGTCCACTTATACCTCACCGACGAACCGGATGAGTCCACTTGCATACTTAAAATATTTCTAAATCTCTTTGAACATTCGAAAGCAGCAATATCATGTACTCAGCATATCACTGAAATCATTAATATGAATTTAACTTAAACCATTAATAACAGTCACTTTCAAAAATAACCAATCAAATATCTTGGGCTCAAATTTAGAAAGGTAGCAGTTCGTAAAGACAATCTAGCATAATTGACAATTTAATATGTATAAAAAAACTCTTATAGAATTTCAAGAATACGAAATTATCACAATTTATGAGATGTCAATTCAGAAATAAATATTTCACAAACAATGCTATAATCAATTACAAAAATATCAGTTTTCAGATAATAAGGTAGTCATTTGCACATGAAATTTACAATGTCTAAATATTCAAAAACAGTAGAAAGAAATGTCACAATTTTACTAACAGCATAAGTATCACATTTATTTCTAATAATTTTACAGTATCTAAAATTTTCTAACAATAGACAAGAAAAATAAATAAATTTATTTTTAAGAATTTACAGCATTTAGAATTTCTGACATAGATAAAATATCACAATTTTCTTAAAAATATTATTTTTCAAAATAATGAGTTAGCTTGCGCATAAAATTTATCGCGCCTAAAGATCATGATAATAAGCATAAATAATTATTTCATTTCATTTTTAAAAAGAACGGATTATTTTTCAAGATAATGAAGTCACTTACCTAAAATATTTTGAGAGGGAGCTTCCAATAAAAATTCAGCTAGAGAGAAAGAGTCCTCAAAATTTTCTAAGGTGCGAGTCCTCGCCTCTCGTATTTAAACTCTTACAACACCTTATAATAATATTTTATTAAGTTACACCTCATACACGAGGTGTAACGTTTATATTAAACATAAATGCTTTAAGTCCCATCCAACCAAGGGAGGTGTTAAAAGGGAAGGTAAAAGGTTAACAAAAGTGGTGATGATCCCTAAGGACCATCATACTTATATGGACCATCACTTATAAAAGTCTTTTTTTTTTTTTTTTTTTTTTTTTTTAAATTTTAGGATTATTACACCTTCTCTCTCCGAGAACTCTCTCTCATCTCTCTCCTAGAGAGGCATGCCCCACTCTCTCTCCTCAAGATTTCTCTCTTTAACCCTCTCTCTCTCCCCTATGACCTATAGGGGGCACGCCCCAACCCTAGGCCACCTACTCCCTCTCTCTCTCTCTCTTGATCTAAAGATACTAAGGGTTGGAAAATTAGAGTTAAGCCTAAATTAGTTTTGGGGTTAGGGTTTTTTTAGAGATTTAAGGGTGCTTACTCAGTTTGACTGAAATTGGCGTTTCCAGTTCGAGATTGAAGCTAGACCACTAATCTCGCACCATCTGATATCCGTGACTCGGTGTGGGGTGTAATAAGCCCGGTTGAGGTAATCTCCGACATCTTCTTTTATTTCATACAAATTTATTTTTTATTCTCAAGCATAGTGTTTAGTTGTATAAATGACATCAAGTGGTTGAGTTTTATTTTATTGTTAAGATGCCTTTATTTTGAAATATTTATTGATTCTAATAAGGCCATCTGTAAGTGATCTTTTTTGCTAAAGCAAAAGAGATGATTAAAAAAAAAAATTTATATCCACCGGCAAAAAGAAACATAGGTCTTACTTTCAACATGCCCAACAAACAAAGTAGTTTATCAGAACAATGGACTGTGATTGGGTCATGGACTTGCTTCTTGAAGGTTCTCAAGATGAATTACCCCAGTCATTTGATTGATCCCTTCTCATGAGCACTTCCAACTTATGTTCAACCAGAGATGCTTCTTTTGGAGTTCATGGACAAGAAATGCACTAGAACCCATACTCAAATCAAGTGAGTCCTTCTTGGTGCCACTTATAGTTGTCATCAAATCATCTTAGCACCCTGGTGATGCACACAACAATATCACTATCTTATCTTTATCCTTTATTTCTCATCCATCACTTTCAATTTTTGAAAGTGTTCAAGATCGGAAGCTTTTGTCCCCTGTCTCAACCTCAAGTTGAAAAATATGTTCTTCAATAGAATCCAATTTGTGAGAGTAAACACCAGCCAACTTCTTCTACAAACCCTGATTATCTTTTCTCCAACAACATTGAATAAAACAGTATTTTACAAATATAAACGAACAATAACTAAAGCTACAAGTTCCATTTCAAATTATGTTTTAAATATTTTTATAAGTGTATGATAGTGATAAATATGGATATACCAAATTTGAACTTAATCAAATATATAGAATAAAAAATGAAATTAAAATACTCTTTATAATATAAAAAATGGGACTTTAGTGTAAATTTTAAAAGAAAAGTTTATATAAGGTTGCACCGTTAAAATGTAGAACTACAGATGCACCTCAAAATTCCATCGGAAAAGGTTATTTTAATGTTAAAAAAACCTCTAATGAAGCATCTCGCCATTGAGATGTATGAATATGAAAGAAAAAAAAGATTTTGAGTCCCAAAAATAGTGCATTTTGCAATACATGATCTAGACCATCCATTTTCAAGATCTTCATATGCTTATAGATCTGCTTGATTTTAACTATTTTTTTAATTTAAAATTTTATAATTAGATATGAAAATAGATTTTGAGATAATTCTAAGAATTATTTTCACAAAAAATACATGTTATGATAAAATTTGGAGGTACACCTTAATTGGATTATTTAAGGTTGCATCCTTATAGAAACCACACTCAATTTTAAAATATATGAGACTATTTTTAAATTTTTAAAAATAAATAGGATTCTTCTAAATTTTAATTTTTTTTAGACCATTCATTTTGAATTTTGGTTGAATCATCTTTTCTTTTTTTTGGAAAACTATTTTATGCATAAAGGATACACTGTTAGAATAGCGTCCATCCATTGAAGATGGACGTTAACAAATGGTAGCCCCACAAAAATTGAAAATCAACCCTGTCAGAAACTGTCAAAAAAACTTTATTTTTATTTTTAAAATTTATGTATTTATTTCAAGTTCCTACTTATCATGATTGAGATTTTCATTCTCTAAACTTGTGCTAGGTGATATTTGTATATTGTACCCACCGCATACGATATAAGTAGTTTGCACTTCTAAATTTTGCTACAATATGTAGTTCTGGCATCAGAAACCTTATAGTGGTTTGAATTTGTCTAAAAAAAAAAACAAAAAATGTAGTGTTTTGAAAATTTATGTTCAACATTAATTACGAAATTCAAAATTTTTAAAAAGTTACAAATTGAGCAAATCTGTAAAATATTCAAAATCTAAAAAATATATAGTCTAAATAACTTGTTACAAGATGAACTATTCTTACAACTTGGAATTTTTTTTTTTCACCATAATCTTGAGATCAAGATGATTAATAGGAAAGTTTTCCAACTTTGGAACACTCCGTATTGGATTTTTGAGGTACACATTACTTCTATAGTACAAAGTTACAGCCTTATATAAACTTTTTCCAATTCTGAATCTCAAATCCATCTTTAAAATAGATTTTGGAGAGAGGACGTGTTAAATTGATGTGTCGGCTGATTCATCTAAACCTTTATCTTTTTTTTTCTTTTTAAGCGTTCCATTGGGTAGCGACTCACCAAGCACTCTCCTTAATGAGAAGCTCTCCTGTCCATATCTTGTGGGTCATGGAAGGGTGCAGAAGCATCTCCTTAATGAGAAGCTCTCCTGTCCATATCTTGTGGGTCATGGAAGGGTGCAGAAGCATCATTTTAACGGTTCAGATTAAAAATGGTCACATCAAACAATCACAAAAGAATTTTATATTTTATTTATTATATTCATTTAAATATTATCAAATGTGATTACCACATATCAATGACGTTGAAAGGTAAGTTCTATAGGACAACTGTGATACCAACTTTACTCTATGCCACAGAATGTTGAGCGGAAAAAAAAAAGCCCATAAAATAGTGTAGCGGAGATGAAGATGTTGAGATGGATGAGTGACAAGATAAAAAAAAATAGAATCCGAAATGAATTCATTCGACAAAGTTTAGCTGCAGCATCAATAGATGATAAGATGAGAGAGTAGACTTAGGTGGTTTGACCATGTGTGGCATTGACCCAATACAACATTTGTCAAGAGGTGCAAGTTAGTTTAAGTGGAAGGATTGAAAATGACAAGGGGTAGGCTCAAAACGAAATGGTTGGTAGTACTCCAAACACTATGGGGACTTATGACCTCGCTGAGGGTATGGCCTGAAATAAGGCAGAATGGTAGACCAGGATTCGTGCATTAAAAAAAAACTACGATGATGATAATTTACATATTACCAAATAAAAAATAAAATCGATTTCAACAAAAAAGTTGACCACATTACTTGTAAATTGGTTTTAAGGGTATTCTCGTCAATATTTTGGTTCAAATATTTTATTATTTTATTTGGTTGGCCCAAATAAAAATACAACTATAATTCAAATTCACATAAATATAATTTTTATAAAATAAAAAAAAAGATAATTATTGCTAATATACCTATATTTTAAAGAAATTGGAAAAAAAATCTTCCCAAAACCTCGCCCACAACCTTTTTCCCTATTTTCGTGAATTTTTGGATGAAACTACCCTTTACAGTAGTCTTTGTACCGTAAATTATTAATCATTATGGTAATGTAATTACCATAACAAATTAAGATATTACTACCGTATTTTTAATACCGTAATAGTTTAAAAAAATATTACGATAAGTATAGTACTATAATGAGAAAACAAAGCATTACGGTATTCTTAATATCATAATGTTTCAACATTCATTACGGCAATCGCATTGCTGTAGTAGTTTGGCGTATAAACCCTAACAGCAAAACCCTCATTCTGTTGCTCTGCCGTATTTGTTCAAACAAGTACAATCTTCATTCTGCCATTAGAAGGCTGCTGGTTACGGTCTTCTAGAGCTCAATCTCTCTATCCCTCATCACATATTTGAGGTAAGAAATAGTTGTTAGATTAGGGTGTATATTTATTTTAGAGATCAAAATTTGGGTTTTTTTTTATGGCTTTATGATCAATAAAAGTTTAATATTTGATTTGAAACTAAATATTGTTCAAGCTTGTGTAATGGTATCCTGTATTTTGGATGAAAAATAAGTTCATTACCTTATTTGGTAATCCTTCCCTGCATTTTGTGCAACCTAAACTAGCATATGTCAATCACAATAAGACAAAATAAAACTACAAAAAACATATGAATCATTTTCGAAATAGCCTGAAATCCTTGTCGAAATGTTCGACATGTTTTGACATAAGGTCATTACCTTATTTGGTAATCCTTCCCTGCATTTTGTGCAACCTAAACTAGCATATATCAATCACAATAAGACAAAATAAAAATAACACTTTTATGGCATTTCTTTGATAGCATGAGTTCTAGTTTGGAATAGAGTCTAAGTTGTAGATATAGTGGTTTTAAATATAGGTACCAAATTCATGGAATTTTTATTTATGATGCCTTTTTTATGTATGGTGGTATTTTGAACAGTGATCATGTCAGAAGATGCACCCTTCCCTGGAGGTCCTGAGATTCTTATATTGTTCACTAGACAAAGAGAACATATATCACATAAGCTTTGGGAAGAGATGTATGTACAAGTATTTAAAATTATATTATTTGTCTATCATGGAGTTAATCAATATATATAGTTTAGTATCTGAAATGACAAATTCTATTTCAGGATTGGGAAAATACCCTCATAATTGATGAGAAGCCCAATGCAAATTCTTCATGACCGTTAACGAACAACGATCAAATTGATTTGGTCAGAAGATCAGGATTGTATCACCTGACCATAGTGTTGATGAGTCAGCATGACCGTGGCACATCATCTACAATTATCGAGAAGTGGCGCGTAGAGACGAACACGGGGCACTTCAATGTAGACATCAGAGAGATGATGCCTACACTTGAAGATACATGAAAAATTCTTCGGTTAAAGGTGACTGGTGTAGTTGTAATCGTGAAGAGTGGAGAACTACGAGGATCATATAGTCTGTATGATATGACAGCTGCCACCTAGTCGTAGTCATTCCAGTATCCAATTGACATGGTTGAGGAACACGTTTAAGCGGCTACCATAAAACCATAACCACGCTACTCTTCTACGATACACTCGTGCCTACCTCTTATATCTAGTTGGGTGCACAATATTTACGGATTTCACTTATGGTACCGGTTCCTACCATCCATTAACAACTTTTTGAGGATATCGATGTAGTTGGTCAGTATGCATGGGGTGCAACTGTGTTAGCGTTTTTGTTTCGAGCCTTGTCTAAGGTTGTTCATGCTGATCATCAACACCTAAGTGGATCGGCAACTCTCTTGCTAATAGTGGTAGTATCTTAGTGTTTTGATATTTTTTTTAAAGTTCGATAGATATTTGTTGTGATTCTTATTTTTTTATATATGTAATCTAGTGTTGGGCGTATGAGCATTTTCAATTGTTGTACCTAATTCCAAAAAAAATAAGTACAGGGCAAACTAGATCCCTCAGGTGGGCCCCTCCTAAAGAATGAGATAACACTCACAACTTTGGTCTCGTGGGGCGACAGGAGCTTGATAACGGGCGAATAAATGATGTTAGTATAATATAGTTATATTTTGTTTTGTTTATTTATAATTTAATTAATTTTAGATGCATGTTATTTATATTAAAAATTATCTTATTTTTTACGTAGGTCATATGGACCTCATACGATGATTATCTTAAAACAGGAGAGAAAACTGCAGAGGACAAAGATTATGGGTTTCGTGTCTATCAGACTGTTTTGTGTGGCACATACCTCATATGTAGACACATCTATGAGGAGTATATGCCAGATCTTGTGCTACGGCAGTTTGGACTTCACCAAATGAAACCTGCAGATCCCTTGCAATAGGAGAGGAGGGAGAGAATGGGGAAGATCTTTGACAACTAGGGAGATGAGCTAAGAGATAAAATAGATATGTGGACGCATCGCTTAGATTATATTGTTAGGCAGATGAATATATGTTCAATGGGAAGCCGACACGATAATACATTGAGTGGTACAAGCTAATGACTAGACCCCTAATCCATAATCCATTTAGAAAACATCCATCCAAATACACATCTCGAGGTTATAATGCTGAAGATAGAATGGTAATAATTTATTTTCATATTTCATATGACTTGATGCAATTTAGAACTCTCAATAATCTAATTTCATATTTTATATGACTTGATGCAGCCTAAGGACATCAGTCATGCAACTCAACTTTTATTGCAATTCAAGAAATTTAAACCTAATTGGGGAAGCATTAGACGTGCTTAAAATGTATGACCCAAAAGTTGCAGGGGAATTTTGATGATGAGCTGGATGATAACGTGCCAGTATGACATCCTTCTCGACCAGATAAGGGGCCAAGTAATACAAAACCCATCCCCACACCGATTCAACTAGAGGAGCCCAGATGGGAGTTGTGTCATCGTGTTGCAAAACGGGAGCAGAGCAGCTCTGATACAGAGTTGCAGTTACCACAGTGGGCTGAGAAGCTACCAGTATGACAAAAGCATTCATGATGTGTACTTGGCTGGATGCATGGTTGAATGCATAATTGTAAATAAGCCAGTAGTGGTGTTTAAACTATGTAAAGAGGCCATTAGTGCCTATATAGTTTTATGTACATGGCTAGATCTATAGTTGAGAAGTTTTATTTGTATGTGAATTGCTTTGTATGTCAATTGGTTTGTATGTGAATTGCTTTGTATATCAATATATTAGGTACATCACATGTATGACATTCTAAAGTCAGCAAGGTTTGCCATCTTATAGTTTGTAGTTGAAGCAACTCATAAAACACTTTAAGATGCATTACATAGTCCATAGATCTTCTTGATATACACTATTTAAGCTTGAAATTTCATAATTAGAGATGAAAATAAATTTTCAAGCTACCACAAAGATTTTTCAAGCTACCTGATTCATCTTCAGTTATGGAAGTGATTCTACAGTGTAAAGGTCAAATATTAAGCAAGTGATACAAACCACACCCTTATGTATAGGTCAAATATCACAATATACAAACCACACCCTTCTATAGAGTAAATGCACTCTATACCATAAGATGATGATGACATATCAATATAAAGTTTAATTTTTTTTTTTTCTTATTACAGTCTTTTTAAGACCGTAATGCATGTGAAGAGCATTACGGTACCAACAATATCGTAATGAGGTTTAAAAACATTACGGTACTAACAATACCGTAATGCTCATTACGGTATTGTTAGTATCGTAATGATCTTCACATACATTATGCTCTTAAAAAGACCGTAATGGTCAAAAGTCTACTGGAAATCAAGTGAACTTTTCACCATTACAGTCTTTTTATGACCGTAATGAAGTTTTAAAGAATTACGGTATTAACAATATCGTAATGCTCATTACGGTATTATTAGTACTGTAATGATCTTCACATACATTACGGTCTTAAAGAGACCGTAATGGTAAAAAATCTACTGGAAAACCGGTGAACTTACGGTCTTTTTATGACTGTAATGAAGTTTAAAAGCATTATGGTACTAACAATACCGTAATGCTTATTACGGTATTGTTAGTACCGTGATGATCTTCACATTCATTACAGTACTAACAAGACCATAATGAGAATTTTTTTAAAAAACAGAAAACTTTATATTGAGATTTCATCATCATCCTGAAATGGTACAGAGTGCATTTACTCTGTAGAATCGTTTGCTTGATATTTGACCTATGTGTGGTTCATTTACCATTTCCTTTTCTTTTTGTTAGACTTCCATAACTGAAGATGAATCGGGTAAGCGTGTGGTTTGTATGTAGCTAAGGTCCTAAACAATCAAAGTAAGACGCACCTTCCAATTGGATAGCTTAAAGAGACCATTTAGCTTGAAATTGGATAGCTTAATTAATTATAACCATCTGATGTGAAATTGGATAGCTTGATATCAGCATTGGCCTCTTTACAAAATGACATATCAAAAAAAGATCAACTGACACTAATAGCCTATTTACATTATTTTATATACTTGATTTACATGTCTTCTAGTTATGGCCCACAACCCCTTATCGGCTACACTAAAGAGGCCTAATCTCTATGTACTCTGTTTGCCTGTGATGTTTATTTGTCCGACCCGTGGTTCACCTTACAGCTGGCGGCATATAGTTTTATAGACAATCTCTAGCAATTCTAGTACATCAAGCATTGGGTTGAAGGGAATGGAATGTGCTCCACGGTACAGTGAAATAAACGCCGCAAAAATTTATAACATCTTCATGTCTATGATCTATAGCGGCGATTGCATGATTGCACGACAACCCACTAACCTACCACACCCGACAACTGCATGTATGAGTTGCTAGATTAAGAGCATATTTCTTATCCGCAATGATCTCATACATACTATCATGTGCCCATGTGACTGTATGAAGGAATTTGGACTTATCCCTCCTCAGGTCTATTACCTTTTGATCCTTCGATGTAAGCATGCCGTTCCATTCTAGGGATATGGCCATCTTCTATGAAAATTCTCCCATAAGCTTAATCTGAGACAATAGTCAATTTAAAACTACTCATTCAAAAACTCTAGGAACCAAGTCTAACTTAGTGTTTTTTTACTCTCAACCACTGCATATGCTATAGGAAATATATTTTCATTCGCATCTACCCCAAATACAGCCAATAATATCATTTTGTATCTTCCCTTCGAAAATTTCTCATCTAATCCTATTAGCGGTCTACAACCAAACATAAAACCATACAAACATGGACGATTGCCTATAAACACACGCTTAACCCTATTATGATCATATGTTTGAATAATTGTTAAGATTCTAGGGTTAGTGACTTGGATCTTATGTAGATATTTAGTGATATCCTCGTATGACTTCATATGAAAACCTTCATTTATATGTTTGTGCAACATCTTTGCCCCGCCAAGCTTGTTGGTAAGATAACATGATACCGTGATCACATTGTATATCATTAACCACATCTCTAGATATAAGATTGGGCATATTATTCAACCGGTCTTTGATCTTGTTTACCACCAGTGGCTTTGAGCAAGTGGCTGATGAACCCTAATTATTTCGTCGACACATGAGTGCATGTTTATGAACTTCTTCACCCAGAAGAAGTTTGTTGTATTAACCCTCTAACAACTCATTTTCCATGAACACTCAGCTGCAGCATACCTTGCCCATACACGTCTCCCATCGCTTTTTATAAACTTCATATTGAAGTTTTGTGATATGGCATAATCAATAAGATGATTACGGCATGCTTGTACATCATCAAAATCCTAAACATCTTGAAGTACAACTTTGTAACAGTTAATCCTCAAGGGGCTTTTTACCTGATCGATGTCGTCCATATGCTGCTCGATTTTTTATTCATGCTCATCTTGTACGCCTATGCCAGCAATACATTCGTTGTGAATCACTGCATAGAAATTTCAGATGGAAATATAAATAAAATACTTATAAGAAGTTCAAAATACTTACAAATAGTAAGGAGGTTGCATGAGGGACATTAGATTGCAATACAATTGTCAAAATATAAACAAAAATTATAATGTCCAACCAAACTACATCAAGTGTTATAGGAAAACATTATTTTGATTGCCAACCATTAAATAAATCTAAAATTATTTGTACAACAATATAAATAAATCTAAAACTTATTTATCCAACATAATATTTTTTTAGATGCTAAAAACAACATAATATTTTGATGACATACCTAAAAACCAGTTGGTGTGTAAATTTGATGCTCTCAGAGGCCTCCTCCAAAGATTGATAAACAATAGAAGATATGATAGAAAATAGATGAGAGATAAAAAATGGATGAGAGAGATAAAAAAGGATGAAAGTGCTAAACAATTCGTCAAAATAGGGTTTTATAAAAAAAATATAATTTTGGAAGTATTACGGTAACTTTATTACCGTATATAATTTTGAAAGTATTACGGTACTACGAGTACCATAATTCATTGTAAAAACAATACGGTAACCATATCACCGTACAAATTTTATTTATTAATACGATATTCCCATTACCGTATAAAGGTATCTAAACATTACCGTATTAAAAATACCGTAATGCTTTTTAATGTGCAAAGACTATCGTAAAAAGTAGTTTCGTCTAAAAATTTATAAAAATAGAAAAAAAAGGTGTGGTGTGGACGAGGTTTTGAGAAGGTGGATTTTTTTTCCAATTTTTTGAAAATATAGATATAGTAGCCATAATTTCCCAATAAAAAATAGAAAACTCTATTTGGGCTTTGAAGTACGATAGCATCCCTTCGATAATTTGTTCTGCGACTGCCGGTCCTAGCCAATTTTGTGATCCCTCAAGAGTAAACTGTACACGGCAGGCAAAATATTTAGACCGCTCCTGCTGCATTGGCATGAGCCATAACATGGATGCTGGCGAAGATAGTCACTGGTATTCAGAGCCGTGGGGCGAGCTGGTATCTAAGAAAGTATTCTCTCTCTAAAAGGGAAAAGCCCCAAGGCCGTCAAACTACTGTTTTGGCAGCGTTTCTCGTGTCTTTTCCATCTCATGGTATGACCCAATTTTGCCCTAAAGTTTACGTTAAAAACCCAAATTTTAACTGATAGTTGAGATAGTATTGCGTCAATTAACAACTTTGTTGAGAAAATATTACTAAATCCAGTGCCAGAGTTAGTGAGAGTTTGCAGTTTTTAAGTTCTTGCTGTATTATGAATTTTAAAGAAATTTTATGACACCCAACAAGCATTACCTTATTTATTCAAAAAAAAAGAAAGAAAATAATCATGACCTTATTTTCTCTTGCAGTTTAGACAGTATCTCATTCGCTTTTTCCGTTTTTCGGTTGCTTTTACATTGCGACAATAAGCCTCTTCTTGTTTGGCATGCATTTTGCATTGCATTTTTTCTGAAATGCAATCTTCTTCATTTATTTGTCTTCCTTGTTATGAAAAACTTAATCATATTCCTCCTTTTTCTTTTTATCTTTTTGGGTTATTCCCTTTTGGTTGTATACTTCATGAAACTTGACACAACCTTTGTCATTCACTTTGATCTGTAAAATAAACCAATAAATAAGTAAACCTTGTCTTGGGTCTGTAATTTTTATTTTCGTGCATATTTTCTGTTATTTTTTAACAGAATTACAAGTTGTAGCAATGGGAACTGGAACCAAGTGTCTTGGGAGCTCACGTTTGAGTCGATATGGTGATGTTGTGAATGATTCACATGTAGAAGCTATTGCACGAAGATGTCTCTTGAGGTTTGACCTGTTTGCAGTTTTAACAATTTTGGTTTGCTTGGGGTGACTACAAACATCATTTAGCGCGAAATCTCAAATATTTACCAATAAAAAAAAAGGCAAATTCATGAATGTTTATTGTATTACGAGAAGTGATATGTGTAGTTCATTGGTGAAGAAATTGAGTGAATATTGATTCCTGACCCTGGGTATGGAAGAGATGTAATGGAATATTAGTTGGGCTGTGATGTCAAGAAAGCACAAGTAGGAAAAGAGAATAAGTTGTGATATTATGCAATCTGATATTATATATTAAAATTTTTGTTAGTGGTTTTCTTTTCTTGTTTCTTTTGCTTTTTTTTTATTTTTAAAAGAAGGCTTGTAATGAAAATTATTTTGAGTGATCTTCATGTACCATAGTCAATACAGGAATACTGAATTTATGTTGATAATATGTCAAGTAGCCTAGTAGATGGACATAAGGTACAGAAAGAGAATAAAATTATATAGATTTATTCATGTTTATTAATTATTTGACTCAAAGTACAAAAACAGTTACGTACAGTGGAGTGATATTTAATATTAAGGTAGGGTGTAAGAGAAGCTATATCTGTGAAGCAATACATCATGATCCCCTTAACAAAATTTTCATGGCTTGTGACATTGCTAAATTATTTGTTTCATTAGAACCACAACAAGCTATCAGAATTATTCCCTCAGAGAAAATATTATTCGGATTGGTTTATATCTAACTTCTACGATGATATCATCAAAGTTGGAGAAGCATTTCTGTTCGTTTTTTAATCCATCTTTTGGATGTACTATAACAGCTTAAATAAAATAGAGACCATTACAAAAGTTGGAGTCCATACTTGCATTGGCCTGTGGTCCATGGCACTTGCTTCCTAGACTCACTCTTCTCAGCCAATATATCTGATAATCAGGCACTGAATTGGCCTCCCTTTGTTCTTGAATTGCATCCAAGATACATTAATTACATGGAGTAGTTCTCAAATTCTTCAAGAATCCATTGACATCCAGGGATGCAAGGAGTCTCCATGAAGCTATTGAATGGAATTTATGTTTTGGGATTGTATAATTGCATATTATGGTACATGAATCAGCAGTTGGATATTTGCAATCCACACTACTCATGGTTAATAACACAGAGTGGTTATACCACCAATGTGGGCTGGCGAAGTCATTGATAAACGTCCTCATTGATGCCTAGCATCAAGGGGCTTGGCTCCTGCATGAGTGTAACGCCTAAGGTGGGCTTAGAAAAAAAGGGTTTTGAGGTTGGATTGGTGTTCTAGTTAGATTAGGGTTTGAGAGATGTAAAGGTTTTGATTTCCGACCGAGATAGAAACGCAGGGTAAAGGTGGTGTTCAGGTCTTCTAGTTCGAATAGGATTTGGGGAATTCAATGTCTAAATGGGGAAGTCTAGGAGATGAGGTGATAGGGAAGGTTTAGGTGTGATTAGGGCAACAACTTGGGTTAAGATTAGATGGTGATGATGGGGTTGAAATTGTTAAAAAATGCCAACGAGGGTGATTGATATATTTGAATGGGATGAGGTGATGTAATATCTAGTTTACGGTTGATAGGCAAGGGGTTTAGGTGATAGGTTTAGGAAGCTGTGCTATGATATTACTGCTTAGGAAGGCTCAATTTTATTGGGGACGATAGATTAAGAATTCGATTGTGGGCACTTGTAAAAGGCGAATATGTTACAGAAGAGGGGAATAAAAAGGTTCTAACCTTCTAGATAAACTCTCTCAATCCTATGGTAGAGCTCTTGAATCACTCTCCACAAAAACAGTTGGGGAATCTTTCCTCGAGGTGAAGGAATCACTCCCAAATATGGCCTCACACCAGCTTTTTTAATTCATTTAAAAGAAAAATAGTGAATTTTTATTCTCAACTTCAGTTGATCTAGTCATTGGGTGGTGCTTCATGTAATCTAAGTTACCTAAAAAAATTCGATTTCAAAATTAGGAAACTAGGAAATATTTAGGAAGCCAAGGATCCAATTAGAGAAACTTTTGTAGAAGGAAATGAAACCTATCAACATTAGCAAGAAACTTAGGACTCTGATTCCAAAAAATGAGACCCAGAAACTAACTGTCTTCCTCAGCAAAAAAAAAAAAAAACAAACATAAAATAAAGAAAAAATTTACTATTTGAACTTAAGCCTACTTAGCCCAATTTTCTTCACTAATTATCTAAGCAGCCTTCAAATATGATCTCCGAAAAGTCCAAATTAGGAAAAATTCTCATAGTTAAGGGTTGTAATACTCAAAATTATTCATTTTGAACTTTGAATCACCCCAAACAAACATGCAAGTAGAAGATTATTACAACTTCAGAAAGCTGCCTACATCACTCATCCCCAACGACTCAAAATCTTCTGAAATACTGATTTATTCAGAAAACTATGAACAAATTGTGCTCTAATGGATAGATTTTAATTGAATTGCATGTTCCATGACTGCTGTATTTTGGTGATGGAGTATACATGCTAAGGAAATGCTTCGTGCTCACGGCAGGTAGTTCTATGCAGAGATTGTGTGCCTTAATGAAGCCTAGAAGAGAAACGAACATCTTGGATGTGAACAATTGTGGATGGATGAGCACCTAGACTTGCTGTTAGAACTAGTTGGTGATGTGTCTGGTCAAGCAAAATATAAAATGAAGCCTGGCTACCGGTTACATCTATATATCTCCCAATTGCCTTGTAACTTATCTTCAATTCTTCATTGACTTTATTATTTGTGTTTGACTATTTGAGTTCTTTAACTGCATGAATCTGCTACGAGTTTTCATTTTAGTCATGATCATTGTTTGATCTGATCACATGTTGCTTGTATCTCTTCTTTCTCATTTTATTGTTTTGGTTTTTTGAAGGTGGGGATGCTTCCCGTTCCCCTTTGTTGCCAACATGGGATTTGCTCCAACCAGCAGGGATTTCACACTCTTGTTTCAAAGATCGAAGTAACAGTACTGAAAATCAGCAAGTACAGCCAAATCATGGTTTTCGTAGATCCCCTGACAGTAATCATAGCTACTAGGACAATAATTGTGAATCTTCAGGACAATGCTCTACTGAATTTTGGGAAAACTTTTCTAAAACTGGACTCCAAACACCATATAGGGGAGTTGCTAATAGAAGTGATAAAGAAATGGCAGACAAAATAGATGGAGAGATAGTTGTCAGACTTTTGCCTGTAGAGCGTAATGGTGCAATTTCTTCTGCTATGACTCCTGATTATTTGTTGAGGCGGTTGGAAAATAGTGGCTTACATAGAACAGATAATTTGACAATTGACGTAGATGGAGTGTTTGCCACTCCTTTCCATTCGTTGGTTCATTTGCATGGCCTGGGAATGGTTAGAAGAAAACCTGGTCGTGGTGAAACAACTCTTTCTGTAAGCTGTTCAGACAAGATTGCCCACTCGAATGTTGTTGGCCTTCAAGGTCTGTTCTTTTCTATTTTTGTTCATCTATCATGGACTTATACTTGGATTAAATTACAGCTTGTATTAATATCTATTTTATAGGAAGAAAGTATACTATAAGCAAATAGATTATTGAAAACTACATTCAATTGTCATCAATGGTCACTGAAATGATTAACAGTGATGGAGAGTGTGGGACGCACCAGAACAGGCTTCTCTGTGTCCCACTTTTCACCGATCACCATCCATTTCATTTTACGAATATGACACTAATTGATTATGTTTCTCTATTTATCCTTTTGATATACCTACAGGTTTTGCTTCGCCTATGACCCTTCATCTGGTGATAGAAACTTAAGCAAAAAGCGCATTTAGATGAACCACATTTTGAGGTATGCCTCAAAGTGTCCTCATATCAGGTCCCTCATTCATTGTTATTTCTTATTAAGTATCTTATGTGGGATCATATATTTGGGTTATGGGCACATGCATGCATGCATCGGTGTTACGTCGACTCTTCTCTTGAGGCTCTGTGGACACATGGGTAATGCGTGTCTGACGATATCCTGGTCATACAGTATGTGTCGACACATCTGATAGAAGTGTCAACTGAGTGGACACTGCATATCCCATTTTGTCACAAGGGAAAAAGGCCATACCTCTCATGTGACATGAGTGAGGTACCTCCACGTGACTAGCCATAGTTGTTACCCACATGGCTTTGAATAATGACCTGTGATCCATGCATGACTGAATGATGTCATGCCACCAGATGGATAATAGGAATGAAGTGAAGACCACATAAGACCTTCCTGGTGGCTCGAACCCCAGATAGCTTGATTCAAGTTAATCACTCTTACCACATGCGTAGTAGCCTCCTAAATGGTACATATATAAGAATTAACATATATGATATTTAATAAATCTTTCTCCTTAACAACAAAGTTTGTAATGGTTTTTTTATGCAGCACTGCCTACCACTCATTGTATGACATGTTAATAGATAAATTTTTTAAAAGAATAATTTTATTCAAATTTTCTTTAGATATTCTAGTATTACACATTTTATTTTGTTTAACAAAATACCATTTAACTTTGCTAACTTTTTTATTTTTCTATTATATATATATATTTATATAAAGAAAAGAGTTTATAAATTAGGAATGTACGGATGTGTCGGGAAGTACTGGCTATTTGGCCTGATGTACTAGACACTCTGACACTGGCACTGACACTTACCAGACACCGACACCCGTGTCGTGTCTATGTAACACTGGTGTGCATATATATGTTTGCGTGCATGTTATATTAATATGCATAATTATAGGCATTGTTTTATTTCTAATGATCCTCTCTTCCTCTAACTGGTTGCTAGGATCTTTACTCTCTCATTTTATCCAGCAACCGATATATATGTCTTCAATCACAATTGGGCAACCAGCTTGCGAGAATGCTGAATGCTTGAATCTAGAGAATCAATTGGCGGAATCTCTTTATCTCCGTGTTCTTCCAATATCAAAGGAATTGCAGAGTCCTTTCAAACTGAACAATGTCTGTGTGCTATATCTAAGTTATGAAAGAGGAGAATTAAAATTGAGCTAATATTTACCTTTTGGCAGCAAAAGATTTTTCAAGCTCCGGTTCCACCAAAGGAATTTCTTCAAGTTCAATGTTCCACTGGGCATACCTATTTTAACGTGCGGGTATGGTAAACTTTCCTATATATTATGATATATTTGAAAAACATTTGATACTTTGCTGTGTGATGTGAGATAAACCTGAACATATCCACATGGGAAATCACAATATAGCCCAATCACCAATGGAGTATGGAAAAACCATAGTCCATTGGATAGTGACTGTCCAGTGAAATCATAGATACAAAGGGAGAGAATAGAGAGAAAGTTGGACCCTCCAGAAAATTATGTGGGTCCCACTCTCTTTCCCCGTCAGAGTTTATAAACAGATGGCCATTACCCTAATCGACTATGGTTTTTCATAGTCCCTTAGTAATATTATGCTCAACACTTTTCATTATATGCTGTTGATATGTTTTTTGAAATTTAACATTTTTGTTGTATGATGTGATGAAATTCGAAATATCTACATTACCTAGTACTTACCCAATAAATGTTCTAAATAAATAGCAAGTATAGGATGAGAGTTGTGTTTGCTCGTACTTTATGAGTAATTCAAAAAGACAAGTAATTTAATTTATTGATCTTAATGATTCGTGATTTCTTAGTGATTGGATCTTTTTTCTTTATTGGGTTCAATGTTCCAAATTTTTTCAATTATTACAAATAATTTCATTTGTTAATCTTAATTATTCGTGACTTCTGATTTCTTGAACTTTCTTGTGGTAGATATTCTATCTGCTGGAACAGATTGGGCTTACATGAGGTCATTCTTGGAACTACAGGAAGGAAGCGAGGGACCTCTACGAAAGGGGCACTATCCCCATCTACAGAGTCTTCTCTATGCAAGTAGGAAGACAGTTCACATCTGTTGCTGTTTGTCAAATTTATACTTTTTCTGTTTCTCCTTTTGATGCAGGCATTTTTTAAGCTTGCATCCCACATAATTTTCTCGATTTTGGTATACAGCATTTTTTAGACCCCTAGGGATTTTTGTATAGGGCACCTATTTCCTGTCTGTCTCTGTATATCTATTAATATACAACAGTCAATATATATATATATATATATATATATAGATATATATATCAAATCGTAAGTCATTCATTCCAAATATAAAAAATAATATGATGCTTTTTACTTTTAAGAAAAACAGAATAATTGGTAGTTTATTGAACAATAAGGTGGTTCAGCATTTGAGCTCTTTGTTCTCATTTCTTTGGTGGTTTTTACTCTTGGAAGCGGCTTTTGGAGGCTTTTGCGTCACTTGTACATGTTTCTTCCACCGGATTCAAAGTGGAAATGTTTTCTTATCTTGAGCTCAAGGTAATATGTGGTTTTATTTTGTTAATTGCTAGTTTTATTGGCTTACTTTCTTATTTATTCAAGTATGTAAATAGTATGGCGTTCTTCCATTTCACATGTATCAGAGAAATATTACAGCAAATAGTTCTCTTGTTCTGATGTGTGAGTGTAAGCAAAGACATGTATGTGTGGGTGCATGCATGCACACAGCTGCATGTACAAAATTTGTACTTGAACGTGGGCGCACTCACAAGTCACAATCATGCACCAAGTATGCAGACATATGTGGGTACGGACATGAGAGAGAGAGAGAGAGAGAGATCTTGATCTTTCATGCATGTCTGAGTCAATTTACTCCCTACAGATTATGGCCAAAGATTACAGAGCAGCTGTCAGAATTTTTAAGAACAGCCCATGTTTCACAAACTGGTTTCAGAAGTCACCAGATCTCGAGATGTTCTTCTGTTCATCTTGATTGTGAAGGTACTGAAGACAAAAATAAAAATACTGATTTTCTGGCCTGATTAATCATCTTATTTTAAATTTCTAAACCTTGTAGTCATTATTTCTACATAACTGTCTGGCTTGTGTCTCATAACCTTCAGTTGCAACAAAACCAATATGGATTGGAAAATTGGCATTTGGAGCTCATTGTGCAACAAATTTATCACCGTTTTCCATTTTTGGTTCTATTTATTCCAACTCGATGTAAGCTATAAATTTATTGTTCATGTCTCTAGTCAAGTATACGTGGGGGAGAGGGGTGGAGGGTTGTTAATTATATGAAAAATTACTTCAAAAATTTAGTCAAACTTAAATAGATTTTTTTTTTTTTGAATAACCCTAACTTCCATTAATTGTCCAAAAAAGGATGTAAAAGTTTGTGAACTTTTTTTTTTTTTCCCAAAATGTACAAGTACGTAAACTATTCCATTCACAAAATTGAATCTATGTGAAACAGACTGTACAAAAATGAAAAATCTGTCAATAGAGAAGAGCTGGCCTCAACTTGTTTTGCTGTTGGTTTCCCTACATGAATGTATCACATTGAAGATTTTTTTGAAAAAGTGAACTATTAAAATGAGATAAGTGTACAAAAAATGAGGTTCCTAGAATCTGGAAGCTATATACAGTAAAAAATGGCCGCCCAACAAGCTGGGAGCGCTATAAAACCACCACCTTGGGTGGGGATAGAAGGACAAATGGATTGCACATTGAGTAGAAGAGGGGGCAAGGACCCCCAAAGGAGTATGGGCTGTCTTAAAAAAATTCACTCAGTAGCGCCTGACTTTGTTAGAGAATCAGCCTCTGAATTGCATTCCTGCCAAATGTGGCTCCAAGAAATTGGTAGTCCTGAAGTGAGATGAGAGGTTTCATGAAAAGTCTGAATTGAGGGGCCCTACACAGTGTACATACCTCATCTAATTTAATTTTATCTCTTCTTGTAGTAGATAGCCATCTAATTAAAAATAGGTAATTGGAAATCTAATTTAAAAATGAAACTATATTTTCAGGGAAAGTATATGATGAGACTATTTATCATTGGTACAAGGTGGTCGCAATTAATTTTGACTGTTGGATGTGAAATTTGGTGGTTGCATTTATTTCATTGACCAAACTCAAAGTTCAAAAGAAACTTACATTGGATGAGTGTAAGTAATTGTGACCTCTTGTACTAAAAGTAAGCGATCTCATTATATACTATCTGATATCTTTAATATATACTTCATATTTGTTCAAAGTTAGGACTAAATATTTTGGATCTATTTATTAGGAATATAAAATAAGACCATATTACTTCAGGGTACTTTTATGCATTTCCATGTTTAGTCTCATTTTTTTTGTTGAGTGATTTCATACAACAGTTGTGTAATAATATAATAAAGCAATCTGCAAAAACCATGATAGGGATTTGTTTGATCCAAATTTTAAAATATACACTTTTTTCATTCTAATGAGCAATCACAAAAATAAATAAAATAAATAATAAAACAATTGAAAACGCAATTTAGAAAGTGTTTTTTAGCCCAATTAACATAAGTTGTCCGTTTTGGTGATATACTTAGATTTAGGCCTTAGAATGATTTTCTTTTTTTCCAAATTTTTTAGATAAATGTATTATCACTAGTTTAACAACATTAAAAGGAAACAAAAATTAAGTTTGAATTCATAAAAGCCAAGACGTTGAAATTCACCAAATGGACGGTCTAGATTCATTGTTGGATGAGATTCATTTTGACCATATATAGGGTGTAAATATTTATTTTTATTTTTTTTCTTTTGAGATTGATTATTGAGATGAAGGGAGTGTGTATACAAAATTTTAAGTCATACAAATGCCACAAACATGATTTTCTATAAGTTTGGTTCATTGTAGGATAATGGAATGGTGACATGATGTCATTTCCCATTTGTGTTACCCTTAAAAGGGGGGAACCTTTGCATGTGGCTCTACTTATATATAAAGTATATGTGACCCTATTGGGAGAACTATAGCCCTATTGTTCAAAGTTAGTTTCTAAGCATTTAATCTTGATTTGATGCCTCAAATAATTTTATTTTTATTTTTTTCTCAATAATTTATTTTGCAGTGAAATTTGGGTTATGCACACCTCACCTAGGATGCACCTGATAAAAATAAAAAAAGATATTCTTGATGGAAAAATAACCAGATTGCCCGTAGAACTTGCAGAAGAGTCTTGGCCATTTTAATAAAAATAAATACAATTCTTTTATTTTTCCCAAGTACACCCCAATAAGGTGAAGGCATGCCCCAATTTTAATGTAAACCTAACTCGTAAAGGAAAGTTTACAAATAAATTGGTTGACATCGCGACAAAAGCTATTCAATTGGTGGTAGCACCTCCATACCTTAGTCATCCACGTTGTGGTTTCCATTCTCACTAATACTAGCCTACTGAATACGGATCGTTGGAGAAAGGAGTCACATGCTTTTTGTATGTGAGTGGCTCCACATGTAAAGGTTTATTTAACCAATCATCTAAGTATCATAAATTATCAAGGGATTGGCTAAATGGGCAAATGGCTTTTTGAAATCTTTAATAGGGGTATATATTTGTGTGACCCATTTTAGCCAATGCCAAATAGTTGGGATAAGGCTCAGATGATAATGAAGACGTCTATTTTCATATATATGGTTTATTAAAGAAGACCTTAGGTTCCTTTATGTTGAATACAACACTATATTATTATGTATTATTTAGCTTCTCAAACACAATAAGGCATAGATTAAGAAGCGTCGATAAACTTCAATGTAAAATCTTTTGCAATTTATAATTCATATATAGACTAATGCTTCAAAACAAATATCTTTTACAGACTGCAAGAAGAATCGTGGCATGAAAGAAGTGTTAATAGCCTCTGGTTTGTTATGGAGAGTTCCTTGTTCTATAAGCCTGCAAGCCCGGCATGATGATTGCAACTGATAATTCAGTTCAAATGCCAACCATTATCTTAAACACACAAGGTTACCCAAACATTTCAGAAATAATTATGGGGATTTGTATCTTGGCGTTGAAGCAATTCAATTGAGACTCAAAAGAAGTTTCTGCATTGCTAATCGAAGTATCAAAGCAAGTGCAAGGCCATGTGATCTGATCACCACATGAGTATGTGTGTGTGTGAGCAGTAGAAGTACAACACTACGATGCCCGTAGCAGTTTCTTCACAATACGATCCATGAACTTGAAATATGCATGGCTCCAGGGCCTTATGACAGCTAGAACAAAGAAAAAACCACCAAATCCTACGCCGAAACCCATACCTGCACTCACATCAATCCCAAATACATCATCATCATCATCTTCATTATGGATGGGAGTCAACACCTGGGTAGGTACTCCACACTTTTTAAGAAGCGGAAAGCCACAAAGGTATCGGTTCCCAGAATATGTCGATTCATGAAAAGTTTCCATTTGATTGCTGGAGGGAATGGGTCCGGATAAGTTGTTATTTGAGAAGTTTAAATAGCTTAAGAATGTCAGGGACGAGATTCCTTGTGGGATGCCACCCGAAAGTAGATTGTTCGAAAGGTCTAGCGACTCCAGCTCCTTCAGTGCACTGATCTTTTTGGGAATATTCCCAGTTAGGTGATTTCTGGACAGGTTTAGCACAAGCAAGCCTACCAAGCGGGTTAACTCTTCCGAGATAATCCCGACAATATTATTACTCGAAATGTCCATGCATGTAACCAGGGAAAGAGTCCTGCTATATGGAAGGGCTTGCCCCTTTGTGGCAATGACAACCGTTTCCTCATAATACTTCTTGAGAATCATTGCCTCATTATTCTCCCCATTGGAACTGCTATGGACGTCTCGTAGCCTGATTGCCATTGATGTGAAGTTGTCAAATGTCCGAGGGATCTCACCTGATAAATTATTTACTGCGAGGTCCAAGACTTGAAGAGAACGCAAGAGTGACAGCTCTTGAGGGATTGTACCTGTAAACTTGTTTGATCGTAAACGGAGAATGCGTAGTAATGAGAAGGTTCCACCAATCCAAGTAGGAATAACACCTGAGAATCCATTTTCACCAAGATCAATAATCTCTAAACCAGAACAGTTTCTCAAGGATGAAGGGATCTCTCCTGATAGGCTATTGTTGCTCAATTGCAGTTTCCGAAGGATCCCTAAATGCCCAAGCGACCATGGAATGCTTCCGAGCATATTATTGTTGCTCAAGTCCAATACTTCAAGCGACTGACATTTCCCCAAGCCAGAAGGAATAACACCACTTAACCTGTTTCCCGAAACATCGAAGACAACCAGATTGGTCATATTCCCCACAGAGTTGGGAATGGTTCCCATGATGTTGTTATTAGAAATCATAAAGTATCCCATATTGGGTAGTGAGGTCGGGATGGTACCAGTGAAGTTGTTCCCAGAAAGGTCGAGAACAACCAAATCTCTCATCTTGTGAATAGTGGAGGGAATTGTTCCCACCATGTGGTTATTTCCTAGCTGTAGGAAAGTTAGACTCGGCATTGTTTCATCAATGTTTTCTGGAATGTAACCAGAAAATTGATTCCCAGACAAGTCAACAATCATTAGATCAGGATGGCTACCGAAAGCCTCGAAAACTTTCCCCTCGAGATGGTTCTTCTCGACTACGAACCAGGCCACACTCGTGCAGTTCTTCAAATCTTCTGGCAGGGGCCCCGAGAAATTGTTGTGGCTGGCCGAGAAATTTATGAGCTTATTCCCTCTACATATTCCCAAAGGTAGTGTACCTGAGAAGCTATTAAAAGACAAGTCGGCCCCCAACAATTGAACGTGCTCAAAAATATCTACTGGAATGGTGCCAGAGAACACATTGCTTTCGATAAAGAACATTTCCAGCTTCCAGAGGTGGGATAATGTTCTCGGCAATGAGCCTCCGAGGGTGTTATTCGACACATCAAGAGATGTTAACAATCCCAAGTTTCCAATCTCCGAAGGAAGAGCTCCTGAGAGCTGGTTATAGGAGAGATCCAAGGTGGTGAGCTTGGTTAGGTTACCGATGGAAGGAGGAATGGGGCCATATAGAAGGTTCATAGAAAGAGAGATTTCGATCAACTCTTTCATGTCTCCTATTTGTGGTGGGATGTTTGAACTCAAATTGCAACTACTAATATCCAGCCTCTGAAGCTTTTGGAGCTGGCCTAGAGAACCAGGGATGGGCCCTACTAAAAGTGGGTTTTCATAGAGTTCGAGTATTTGGAGAGAGAAAACAAAACCGAGCTGTTCAGGAATGGGACCGGTGAAGGAGTTGTAACCGAGCCGAAGATCATGAAGCTTAGTAAGGTTCACTAGACTGGTTGGGATTTGGCCTCCAATATGATTTCTGGTGAGGTTTAGGATTTGCAGTTTTCTGAGACCAGAAAAGAACGTATTCGGGATTGAACCAGATAATTCATTATGAGACAAATCCAAGAAAGTGAGGTTCAAAAGACTACCAATATCTGGCGGAATCGTTCCTTCAAGAGAGTTCCAGCTGAGATCGAGGTGGACTAAATGGGGTAACAAGGAGAAGTTTAATCGGCCAAGAGTACCTTCGAGATTTGAATTCGAGAGGCTTATCTCAATTACACTTCCCCCATTGCTGCACTGAATGCCAAACCAGCCACAATGGCTGGTCTTATTGTTGGTCGTGAAAACCCATGAATCCAAGGTCTGATTTTTCAGACTGGTTCTCCAATTCAAGAGTGCTTGGGTTTCTAGTTCTACTCCTGATAAACCATCAGATGATTGGATTAGAGGAACCAAAACAATTGTTTGGAAGAAGAGGATGAAAATTGGAAATCTCATCACCATTTCCATTTCCATTTCCATGGCCTGCGAAATGGTTACTCACTTTAGCTTCTCTGTGTACAGGAAGGAGCCTGAATTTATAGATGCAAGGAGAAGTAACGTGTAGAGCACTAAGTTTTACCACACGGTTACTTTGCCGGGTTAGGCATGCATTTTTCCCGTCTTTGTTACTGAGTTTGTGAGAGCATTAACCTTTGTCAAAGTCATCATGGCAGCATATGTGGAATCCGGAATTTGTCCATGTCTGTCTGTTTTTTTGTTAGTTTTTAATATCATTTGGGTATTTTCCTATTTTTCTCTTTTTTTTCTAAATTTTCTTGAGGTATTCAAGGTAGAAATCCACTTTTGCATCCCCTTTCTTCATCTAATTTTATCTCCTAATGATTCTGTCAATCCTTTCGACTTTTCTTTTTTTTTTAAGTTTTTTTTAGAGATTGCCCCCTTTTAAAGCTTTTTCTCACTTTTTTTGGGGTTTCGAATTACGAGTCTATTTTCTGTACACTGCTCGAAAGAGCCTTGTTGATTGGGGTAGGTCATGATTATAGTGAAAATTGACTTGGGACTGGCGGCGCTTACTTGAGTGGAACAACGACTTGAAGACTCCCTTACTGTTATGGTTGAAGCCGCCAAGTTCTCAATGGATTAATTGTAAACATAGAAAAATGTTACTTTTAAAAAGTAATGTTTTTGGTCTATAAACATGGTATGAGGATGGGATTAGGTACTCGTATATTTGGTGAGGGATTGGTGAACGATAAAAGAAAGGCATTTTGGGCATTGTGATGTGAAATTCATGCTGTAGTTGAGTTTTGACATTGTTTTATGACTGGTGTGCTTAATGAATTTCATAGTGGGTTGTTAAGGACCAAAAGTTAACCTCTCTCTCTCTATGGGTTGTTATGGACCAAAAGGTTAATCTCTCTCTCTCTCTCCTTGTATTCCAAAACTCTTTCCCTGCCAGCCTTCTATTGTCTCAAGTCTCGACTATGGACCAAGTCCAAGTCCAAGTCCTCTTTGTGGGCCTCCATCAGATGCAGACTTATCAAATATCCATTTAATGGATTCTAGACATGAGTGCTTTTGACTCTACTAGCCTAAAGATATCTTCTTCCTGCGGGAGTAGAATATATGTTTACTCCCTCGGGTATACGCCTCTTAAGCAGCTCTAGGACTTTTAGATTTAATTTCAGGACGGCAAATTTTGGAGATATAATCTCTTAAGCCTTAGGTTAACCTTTTTTGTTTTTCAAATTTTACCCCTCTATGCGCTTGAAAAAAGAATGTCTAGCAATTGAATTGAGGCCATCTAATTTTTAGATAGTGAGATCTAAATGTTAGAAAATTCAAATTTTTAAATTTTTGTTTATGAAGATAATCTAATAAGTGATTCTTAAGTGGTTCTCAAAATTTAATATTGAAAAACTTCTCCCAAATCGGTATTCCAATGGAAGGAGTAGAAATAAACTATACTCCCAAAGGAGCATATTGTAAGTGCCGTCTCCAATAAGGACCTTGACCTTAAAATTGGCACTAACCTGCCTGTACCCATCGGCAAATTGAATAGCATCATGACTACCAACTATGACATGTTTTTGGACCTACTTTCTATTTGCTCCCTATGGAAAAACTCAAGAATAGTTTTTGGACCCCTAAACTTTTTGGGTATAGAGTCTCTAGAACTAGCAACCAATTTAAAGGGAAAAAGAAAAAACATTGTAGATCTATGTGCCTCAAAAAATTAACATTGCAAGATTAAACACGAGCCGTCCAATTTTTGGAGGGCAAGATTTAGGTATTAAAGAACTTAAAATCCAATTTTTTTCAACTAAAATAATCATCTCATGATACTTGGAGCCAAAATTTTGGATCAAATAAATCCACCCAATTTATACTTTTACTGAGGGGCGTTGTCTTACAGTATGCTCCTACAGAAGCATCTTATATCATGCTATGGAGGAGTATGATAATCAGATATTGTGACTTTTTGAAAGTTAGATAACCAAAATATAGTAATTTCCTATATTTGGGCTTCAAAATTAAAAGAAGAGCATGTATACTACGCTCTATCGAGAGCATAGTTTACTTCTACCACCTCGTCCAGATGATCTACTTGGGAGGATTTTTTTGAATTTGAAATTTTAGTAACAACCTTAGAATCACTAGATGATCATTCTCAAAAAATAAAAATTTGAAATTTGATTTTTCTGCCACTTAGATCTCATCTTATAAAATTGGTTAGTTTCTATTCAATCTTGAGGCATCATATTTTTTTGAAGTGCTTAGAGGGTGCAATTAGAAAAAAAAGGTATTGAGGATAATCTGTACAAGGTTATATTCCAAAATATGGGTCCTAAAACTAATCCTAGGTGCGGTTTTACCCGAGGCAGTAAATGAAAATGTATACTCCCTAAGGAGCAGAATATCATTTGGGGTTAAAGGAAAGCGTTTCTATATTTGCTACGCATCCCAGTCCATTAATATAGTTTTCTACTACCTTTAGCATTGTGTTTCTCTTACTTCAATTGTGTATATATCACTTCTTGTACAACTTACTATCAATAGATTACTGCAAAAAGAAAAATAAATATAAAAAGGAAAAAAAGAGAGGATTCTACAATAACAGTAATCTACTCCAAAACACTACACTAAAAAAACAAATTGTAGCATTACAAATAGCAAAAGTATATAGAGACCATTTGTTTTTTATACAAGGACGTCACAATCGCTCTTGTCCATCGGATTTTTAAGTGGGTGATTGTAAGTGTGTCATTGACAAAACTCAAGGCTCAAAAAAAAATTCTCAAACTTTATGTTACACCTCAAGCTCTCCAATTTGACATTTAATAGTTAGCAATGACTGTGACATGCTTATAACAAAAATAATTGTCTTGTACAATCCCATACAAATATTACATCTATTTTTTTTGTTTGGATGAGGCAATGGGGAGAGGACCCCCACCCTTGGTAAGAATTGAGTCTAGGACGTAGCGTTGCAAATCGTCAAGTGATAACCAACTAAGCTCAAGCTCTTTTCCAAAATATTACATTTATTTGCTCTTGTCAAAATTGTATATGAATGTGGGATGTCTTTTTCCCTTTGTTTAATGAGATAATTAAATACACTTCCTTTTATAGAATGTATTTTAGAAATGGATTTAGGATCTAAAACACGTATAACTTTCTAGACATATATTCGCTTCAGATTTACGAGTTTGCAGCTCCAAAAAATATTGCACATAATGATTTGTGAATAATAGAAATGAATGCTGACCAACCATCCAAGAACGATATCTTAGATAGTCATTTTTTAATGTTCAAAATTCAATTTTTTCCATATCATGATCATGGTCATCTAAATTATCGACCTGTAAAATTTCGAGTTTAGAATTCACCCTTTACCTGGATATTTGAAGGACAACGTTTTTGAATAGGTTTGTTGGCTGACACACCAAAACCCGATCCATTTAATAAGAGGAAGCTTACATTAAACCTCCCTTCCACTGCAACATTGTGGACCATTGGATCAATGAACATGGGAATACTCATGTCCAATGAGCAGCCATCTAACATGATTCCCCTTGTTGGAGGGTGTTGATTGGCTCTAACATTGATCCAACGGCCAACAACGATGAAAAATCCTTATGTTTTCCGTCTCGATACTGTAATATTATGGGCTACAAAGAAACAATAGTCCATATTGTTATCACCATCAAGTTGAGATAATGCACGCCGATGGATAGATAGAGGAAGCTCCTATGTTTGTCTCCCTTGTCATCACCACTTCGATGGATAGACCTGAACCTAAGGACCATGTTGGGTTTATGTGGCCTTTAAAGGCCTTGCGAGTACTTGTAAAATGAAATGACATATTAGAACATAAACTCAGTGGAAGTGTGGTCTCTCGTGGACCATATTATGTAAATGATGTTTGCAGACACCGGATTGTATTTGACAATCTAGGTCAGTCGATTGGGAAAAAAGCATGTTACCTAGACATGAAGAACAAACTGAGGAGGGTTCATGGGTTAGCCCTTGATGAGGTCGGAGAACATGCCCAGATAAGTGAGTCGAGGGACTGTGTGACCATTGTGTGTGATAGTGGCCTATAGAGACGGGGGCCAAAACCTCATTCATATACTATTACATGGCATGCATATCAATAAATCGTTTGAGAAAGCTAGAAATCCACCTTTTAGGGTTAAGCGTATGTATGTGCGAGAGATCCCTCTATGCGCCATAGAGTTGTGATCGCACCAGGTCGTGGTGACCTGGACTCATCTTTAGGGAAGGATCTATAATCCACAGACTGGGATTGCGACTCCTTGGCTCATCGGCCAGACTTTGATGACTCACTAATGAGCATTTGCTTAGACTGTGGGTCATGAAAAACATTAGGTCGGTCTGATAAAGCAAGTGTGGTCTGTAGTCTACAGTTGAAGGTAGAGTGCCCCATAATTGTTGATTCAATTCCTAAACCATATGGATCTATTTCCCATCAAATTAATTTAAATGTGTTTGTTTTATGATAATGATTAGTTTAGAATTATTATTTAAATTTTTATGGACCTTTGGATATTTTATTTATAATTTTTGGATTTATGAAATTAAAGAGATTGATTTTACAATGTTTTAATATTCACTAGAAATTATTTTGTTAATTTTAAATGTATAAAAAAATAATCATGGTGGCCCATTGTGCACATGAACCCACCATGTTTCTAGAAGGTGGGGCCCACATGTGCCTCCCATGGGTGGCATGCCGCACCTCATACTACTTTCTATTTTATGGAAAGTTTGGTGGTCCATGTGAACTTATGTTTTAGTAACTTTAAATTGTGACATGTGGTCAAATTATGGATCGATTATGTATTGACCATATATTGACTTAATATGAAAGTAGATATTGACTTGGTATATCTTTGATAGATTTTATGGAAAATATGTATAGAGATGTGCTAATTTATAGAATGCACAATATTTAATTAAAATTAATTTAACTTATTTTTCTATTGATGGGAAAATGATTTAAGAGAGGGGGATAAGGGTTCATGCACCTTCCATAATCTTGATGGCCCATCTATGAAATGGATGGCTCAGTTCTCTCACCCCACAAGTCACACTTAATCGACAGTCAATGTTCAATCTCACAAGAAGAGGCAAGCCAAGGAAAACCCTAAGAAATCTGAATCTTGTTCAAAGCTTATAAAAAAGGGATTGTCTCTATCCAAAATCTCTACACCTTATCTCTTGTACCTAATTCCATATTTCTCTCTTATATCCCACTTAGAATTTCTCTCTCTCTCTCTCTTAAAAAAAATTTCTCTCTCTCCCTCATTGTGAAAGAACCTAAGGGTTTAGGTTATAGAATTTTTCACTCTCTTATCTCTCAACTATAGATTTATGGCTAAGGGTTTTAGGGTTTATAAAAAAAAATCCATCTCTCTCAAACTAAGTTGCTAAAGGAATTCACCTAGGGTTTGAGTTGGTGATCAAAAGAGTTCATGCTTTATTGGTGTGGATTGGCCTAAACTTGCTTTTCCGGTTTGAGATTGAAGCAAGATCGTCGATCCCACGTCATCGAATGGTGGTGACTCGGTGTGAGGTGTAATAAGCCCAATTAAGGTAATCTCCGACACTCTTTTCTTTTATTTTTTGCAATCTTATTTTTTATTCTCAAGCATAGTGCATAGTTATTTCAATGGCATCAAGTTTTAAGCTATTGGTTTTATTACCATGTTGATTTTATTTTGAAGTATATGTTGTTGTAATAAGACCAACTGTAAGTGATCTTTTACCAAAAGAAAAGGGGTGATATAAAAAAATAAAAAATAAAAAAAATCCCCAATAAAAGATCACATAG